AGAGCTGAACGCTTCACAAGAAAAGCGAGACTCGCGTCAATATTTGCAGAGGATAAAGAGACTGCATAGCAAATCCTCATGACCATGTTAGAAGAAGAAGATGATGATAGGGAGCAGCTACCCAAAGCTAAGAGAGACCAGCATAGGGATCTTACCTTGGCAACTTTGCGTTATAAACAGGGTTTTGGAGACGTCCTCGCTGCTCCTGTCGCTGAGGTCATGATGAGGTCTGGGGGATGAAGAGGCGACGCTATGTGATATATGATAAAGGCCAGTGAGGTGGGAGGGGGGAGACAGGCACCGTGCAGAGGTAAGGGAGGGTTTGGCTTCAGCTGCCGGAGAGGAGAAGAAGGAGCAGGAGGAGGGGTTGCACCTCCTTCACTTTCTCCTCTCTCTGAACTTCCTGCAATCAGGAAGCCAACATCACACCGGACAACCCATAGGTGTTTTACTTCTGTATTTAATGTGGCAGCACAGTCTTGCGGCATTTCACTCATGCTGTTTGCACGTGCTGACGGCACGCTACCCGTTTTTAACACTTTAAACTTGATAAACAGTCGCTCCTTCCCTCAGCAGCCTGAACACACCTCATCGCCTTTCAAGCGTTTTATTTGGTCTCTGTGTTATATCGCCCTCTACAGGTCTGTCAGCGCCATCTCCTCCAACATCTTTGTAAGCCTCCACTCATTCATACTACCAGGTGTGGGAAGTCGGATTTTCTGATGAATTATTTATAGTGAAGATTTGTGGCTGCTTTGCTACAAGTTGCTCCAACTTATTTTGGAAAACTCTGGTCAACATTACTGAGACTTTGCCTCGGGTTTAATCATTTAAGGGTTCAGCCTAAAAGTGGTGCATTACATTGAAACGTATAACTATTCATTCTGAATTATTCTTGGACACTTTTGAAGTTAACATTGTAATGTGTGCCCGACTCAGTTGAGCTTCACAAAGGCGAAAAGAACAGCATATTCCATTAAGTTGGCTCATTTTTGCCTATGAGGTCTAAAACTTCTGCTTACATTTCAACATGAATGTACTACTACTTTCTACTTAGTACCCGAGTAATCCAGCAGAACAGCTCCAAGATGGTGGTGGTGTAAAGGCAGCCCTCTCTATGATATAGAGGAAATATATTTCATTTGAGGGTCAAATATTACAAGCTCCATTTAAAACAAACAGCACTATCAAAATACCAGGAAAAACTTAATTGCCTTTAAAAAAAACAATGTGTGCAGACCAGCTTTAATTGTGGACAAATTGAAATTCAAACTTCAGTCAGGTATAAATATACCCAAACGGTATATTTATTTTTTTTCTGTCCACCAAAGTAAATATGATTCAATAGATTTTTGTAATTCCACGAAAAATCACCTTGCCCGGTGGGCCGATGGCCAGTCCAGCTATGGTCATTACGAGGGAAATTTCTTTTGCAGTTTGTCTGAAAAGATGGACTTGCGCTTCGGGATCCTTTAAACATCATCAGGCGCGTTGCTACGCGCTGTCTGTCCTGTCTGTGAGCTCACAAAGCAGCAGTTCGGGGATGAATGACGTCACACACATGGATCCTCTGTCGGAATATAGTAAAACCGAGGACGGTTGGTTAGTTGGCTTAGTCCTCCTTTGATCGAATCAAAGGATCAAAGGATCGAAGAGAGCTGACGTCATGGCTGACGTCACGGTCGCTGCCAGAAAAATCTATAAATAGACCCCAGTTTCTTTAACTCGGCATTTCAAGAAACACCTTGTTGTTTTCACAAGCCAGGAATCCTTGGGAAAGAGAACAGTTTAACACTTAAATTATTCAGTTAGCGGTTTTGTTTTGTTTTTTGCGAAACTTTTATAGAAATGTCACAGGAACCGTCCAGCAATTCAGTGTCTCACAGAGAAACGAGAGAGGAAGGACCGTCCAACTCAGGGGAGAGAGGAATAGTCCAGGGCATGGAGCCCAAAAAGAAAATTCGCATAAGCGAGATAGAGGGGGTGCCCTTAAAGATAACACTGCAGATTGGAGCACTTGAGCAAAATGTGCATGAACTTGAGGAAATGCAAGAGTTTCTTCTTGAACAGAACAACACCATTGTTGTTCAGCTGTCCAAGGCTGAAAGCGAGAGAAATGAACTAAAGAAACGGAATGCAGATCTCGAGAAAGCTTTGAAAACTATTCAGTGTCAAGTGGAAGAATTACAGTTTTCAAAAACCAAAAATGCTGCTGAACCTGAGGGACTTGAGACTCCTGTTGCTCAACCACCTCAGGATGAGGTTCAGGGTACTGGTATGTGGCATCGTGGTGCCAAATGCCTACTTAAAGTAGGTTTAGGTCTTGCCACAGCGGCCCTTATTGTTCCTGCAGCTTTCTGGGTCTTCTCAAAGATGTCCACCTGACGTGAATGACCCAGCTGCTCCCTGTGGCATTGTGTTTATAACTGATGCGCACCTGCGGACCACTTATGTGCACCCCTGTTTATAATCTTGTGAAAGACGCACGACAGACCTGACCATATACTCGTGTTTTTCATCATCTACTTTTATTACTACAGGTTTACCACTACAGATGGCTACAGCTTTGCAGCTCACAGCCACACACAGTAACAACAACAGCACAGCAGGACCTAGTTCAGCCTTTAAACCAGCAAGGCATGATTGCAGATTGGCGCTCAGGTGCGTCCACCTCCCCTGCTTTCCAACCACAGTCCACCAACTACACCAACCTCCGATAACTATGCAGTGCTCTCCTTTAAGTTTTATTTTGCCCCTCACCCCCCCAACCAGTCGCGGCAGATGACTGCCCCTTCTTGAACCTGGTTCTGCCTCAGGTTTCTTCCTGTGAAAGGGAGTTTTTCCTGGCCACCGTTGCCCAGTGCTTGTTCATAGGGGATCATTTGATTGTTGGGGTTTATACTTTAAAATGTCATTTTATTTAAATTATTTCAGGTGAGGGGTTCACTTGATAGGGAGCACAAAAAGCTGCAAATAAAAAAAAATTTAAAAAAAGGTGTATTTAGCTGCAAATCAAAAATAAAAAAAAACAAATATTAAATTTCCCTACTGCTTCGTTTATTTACTTAAAAGAACAGCTTTAAATTTTGTGTGATAGTGTCATGGCCCTTGGTCAAGTGATCCAGGGTTTATCTTTTGGACTGTGTGAATCTGGTTTAATTTGTGTCCTTTGATTTAATAGTATTCATGGTTCTGTTTCTCGTCTCCCATGTGTCCATGTTGCTTTTGTATGTCGTGTCTCTTTAGCCGCCGCAGCAGTGGGCGGGCACATCCACATCATCCACATCGCCGCCAACATACGTTGTATGTTTAGACCATTTATATCATTTGACATCCACAGGACATAGAGGTTCGAAAGACACTGAGTCATGCAATACCTTTAATGAGAATACTGTCAGTAAACACTGATGAGCTTCTGCTTCTTTAATGAGCCATAATTCTCATTAAAGAAGCAGGTTGGCTCATAAAGTGCTCTGTAGTTATCTAATGCAACTGCCATTTGTTTCAGGACATAACCACAATCTGTAATCAACACAGGGTTTATTGAACTGTCGGCTGTGCAGACAACATGGCACGCATGAAAAATGGGTAAGGACATTTTGTGAACACTCATAGTTGATGTCTTAATATCATTGCAAGGCGTGAAATATTACAGAACAAAGTCTGCAGAGGTGTGAGGCTGTTTGATCCCAGAATCCCTCTCTGCTGATCACAGAACAGCTTTACCCTTTGCCCGAGTCCTCTTTAAATGAGCTTTGGCCCAAAGAACATGCTGGATCACGTTCAGACAGCTTCTTTGCAGTTATTGAGCTGTAACCTGCACTTGTGGACAGGAGGTTGAACTGTGTTCACAGACAGCGATTTTTGGAAGTGTTCCTGAGACCCTGCAGGGATTGTCATGACAAAAAAATATCACACCCAAAAGGGTCTGAAGATTACAGTCATCTAGTACTGAGCTTCACACTGTCACGATCCTGCGTCTCTGAGCCAGCGTGTTCAGTTTGAGTTCTTAAGTTATCCCTTTATATGTTGAGTAAATCTGATTATCTTTTGGTTGCCTTTAGTTTATGTTTCACTTAGGTCTTCTGCGTTAGTCTGTCGTGTTTCTTGTCTTCTTGTCCATGTTGTGAAATTGTATTGTCATGTCTGCTTTCCATTCTGTTTGCTTTATTTTGAAGGTCTGCATCCTATGTCAGTGTAGCCAGCTTTGCTTCCTTTGTGTTATGTCAGACTAGTGTCAGCTGTTTCCCCATGTGTTTCCACTTCCCCTAATCACTCTTGTGTGTATTTAGTCTTTGTGTTTCTCTTCATTCTTTGTCAGGTTGTTTGTCCTTTGTGCCACATTGTGTTTCATGCTCCAGATTCCAGGTATCTTTGTATCCACATCAGGTTTTATGTTTTGTTTTTTAATGTTTTTTTTTTTTTTAGTTTCCCCAGTTTATTTTTTAGCTTCATCGCCACCTTTTGTTTCGTGTAGTTTTCACCAGCCTTAATAAACGGCTCACTTTCTGTTAACATTCAAGTTTTGTCCACGTTCCTTGATGTCTGCATTTTGGGTCCTCTTCGCAAATTCGTACAGTGTGCTGCCGCATACTGTGACACACTCTCAGGCAGAGGTTTCTCTGGATTTTTTGATATTACAAATAAAAACCTGAAGTGGAGCATTATTCTGAAATTGTTCCACAAATTAATTTTTTTGCAGGTTGGTAAATCTCTGACCAACTTTGCTCCTAAGAAATTCTCCAAGATGCTCTTTTTATATATCACTCAAGTTACTGACCTCTTTCCATTTAAACCAATTAGTTACATGAGGTCGTAAGCATTATTGTGAGTCCACTGAACTAAATTAAAACCAAATTATTTTAAAAGTGACATTTACTTCAAATAAACGCCCGCAAAAAACAAACAAACCATCTACTCCGATGAGATCCCGCCCCCCAGAAAAGAAAAAAACCCCAAAAACGACACCCTCCAAAATAAGTTAAAACATCCCACCGCACTGCTGCCAATAGTCAGTTTAATTCATTCACCTGTGGGTACATACACTGCAAGCAAGTTGGGTCTCAGTCCTGCCAAGAATTAAAGATATGAGTCACCTGTAGCAGATTTAGGGAAAGACAAGTGTCAGAGAAAAAAGTTGATTTGTCTTCACAATTAGCAATCCAAGTTTTTTGTAGTACAACTCAAAAAAGAAAGAAAATTAAAAAGACAAGTCACTTCAATGAGCGCCGCAAAACATGTTTGAAAAAAACACTTGAAACGGACGTCAGTTTAATTTTTTAAATCTTAACAAACAACCAAACCCTTAATCTCACCACCCAAATGCCCAAAGACACATGTTAAAAAATAAATAAACACTTGTCATCATTTGATCCAGCTCTAAAAGTCCTTTACTGTAGCACAAACTCACTCATGCCAGAGCGAGTCCATCGTCTCGGAGCTTCCACAGATGAGAGCTGCCTTGCCCTCCTCAGTGTGCTTTCAAGACTTCTCTGCCAATCACATGACAGAGAGCAGCAAACTTCCAGGTGGCACTCATTACAAGATTTACAAATCATTGCACTCTATTCATTTTGCACAGAATCCCAACATGTCTTGGGAGTGAGGGTTGTTTTTAATGCCATCAGCAAAAAACACTGAGGTAGCATAATTAATACACAACAGAACAAAGTGAAATGGAGAAGCAACGCAGACCTTGAAGGTCATGCTTTTTCCTCTAATGTCCTCCTAGATCCCTCAGTAGTTTGAAATGAGAATAATTTGTTCAATTTACATAAAATAATGTATATATATGTTTATTCTCTCTCTCTCTCTCTCTATAGATAGATATCTCCTTTATGAGAGCACAGAAACCTAAAAACACTGAAAAAAACTTATCTACAGTGTCCCTCAAATACTACATGCATCTTTTGACAGACTAATGTATAAAATTCATAATTATCATCAAGGGGAAACAAGACACGGGTTAAACAAAAAAGAAAAAAAAAAAAAACAAAAACATAAAACAGGGGAATAAAACACAACGGAAAAAAAAATAAAAGTAAAACCTTTTCACAAATATTAAGTCATAGCTAAGTATGAATTTTTGGTGTTGTTTTCTATAAAAGTGAAATATTTGCAGGCTGAAATGCCAGAATGTGAATGCGTTAAAACAGCAGAGGGGAGTACAATAGACCAGCCAGTGGACTAAGATGGATTTCACTGTTTAAATCTACACAGTCCTCTATATCTGATTTACAACGAGATGAACATGCTAGCAGTTTTCCCAGCTACAAAGTCAAAAAAGGACACACAGTGATTATTATACTAAACACACATTTCATTGTAAACAAACAGCTTTATCTTATGACTGACACACACCTCTGCTGGCTGTGTTTAAGGAGCAAACAGCTACATCATTTGAAAGAAGATATTCCTTTTTGTTTTTTCTAACAGTAGAAAAGTAGTTTCAGCGTTAAACTTTAAAAATTCACAGCCTTTAACTCATCTCCTTTTTTGCAAGTTTTTCACTGATGGTGGAAATCCTCTCAAGTTGGTCTGGGTCAGGCAGCTGCCAGTCGATAAAGATGAGATACATCAAACTACCGAAAACGCCTCCAACAAGCGGAGCCACCAATGGTACCCAGAACCAGTAGTTGTAACACCTGCAGAACAAAGAGCAGCAGGACATCACGGTTAAAGAGTGCAGATTCATTATTTTTAACAGGTTTTACTTCGATAGAAGAATTTATCACAGTGAAAAACCCCCAGAGAGTAGCATATTAAATATTTAAATATCAAACTTCACTCAGAGCTCTTTAGTCTAAGATCAGCAGTTTTTGTTTTGTAGGTCGACACCTTCCATCAAGATCATTTCCATAGAAAACCAGGTCCGATTAATCTGTCTGCAGCCATCAGCAGTGTTGTTCAAGTTACTTGAAAAAGTAATTAGGGATTACTTCTCCAAAAAAGTAATCCCGTTACTTTAATGATTACTTATTTTCAGAATTAATTAGTTACTTTTTAAAAAACATGATAAGGAACCTGAAAAAGTAATAAAGCAATAGGCCTTTCAGCCCAATTCTAGTTTTTTCTGCAGACTCCATCATATAAAATGTAATCAAATGAAAGTCTCTTTATAAAAATTGTTTTAATCTTTTAACTTTATGCACATTGCATCTAGCAAAAAAAAATTATATGCAACAGTCTTTGACTTGAAGAAATTTGTTTAACATTTAAACCTATTTTCTGCATATTCCAACATATAAATAAAACTATTTTTTGTGTTTACACTCACTCTTTCAAAGAGATGCAAGTAAAACATAGCAGAAAATAAATAAAATCAAAGACTACGTCGTCCTGTTGCTCTTAAATCTATTTAAACCTGTTTAGCAGGAGCGGAGCAGGCGGGGGTTTGCCCGGTGGCGTAGCGGTCATGCCAGTGGGAGGATCCGGGGGTTTCTCTGTGAATTTCACATTCCCGTGGCAGCGTGCTAGGGTACTTGCTCAGAAGTTTAGGGAGTTTTTTTCGCTGTAAAAAGAAGTTTTCTTCCCACGCATCATACAGCGTACGCTAATGTTTTTGTCACTTTTTACATAATCAAACTCAAAGTAATGTCAGTGCTTCCACCCTCTATATATTATCCATGGTTGATCATTGATCTGCACACGTCCGTTACCACGAACATCGCACGCGCTTACATCATTGTCATGAGACACTCTCGGAAAAAAAAAAAAATCACGGTCTAGTAACGCAGCATGCTTATGGGAAAGTAACAGTAATCTAATTCCTTTTTTGCAATAGTAATCCCTTCCTTTACTCGTTACTTGAAAGGGTAATCGCGTTACTGCGATCAGTAACAAAAACAATCTGTTATTTCGAATACAGCTGAACAATAAGCTGAAAGGCCTGATAATAATTAATCAAGAAGCTATAAACTCAACTCAGATGAGATGAATTCCTCTTTGTCTATTTAATAAAAGCCTTACATGTTGATCTTGTGTTAAATTTGTGTTTCTCTTGGCCTGTTTTGCTGTTTTTCTGCCCATAGTGTTATAACGCAGCTTTAAGTGTTTAAGACACTGTGCACTGAGCATTTGTGGAACCACACGTCTCAGATGATCATAAGATTATAAAGAGAAAACAGCTTTTTCATGGAAAAACCCTCAGGATAACTCTTCCATTGTCCAACAATCTTTGACATACTTTTGTGAAATTAAGACATAAACAAAGTTTCAATAAAACCAATAACTTAAGCAGATAAGATACTTACGTGAAGACCTCAGTCCCCCAGCCTGCAGCTAGGGTAAAGAGGCGAGGCCCCAGGTCCCGAGCAGGATTTATGGCAGCACCACAGTTAGCCGACATTGAAATGGAGATCCCCAGAACGACAGCTGCCACTACAACAGGAACCAGCTCAGAGGGAGCCGGGGTGTTCCTCTTTTCCTCCAAACCCAGGATACACAACAGCAACATGCCGGTGCCCACTACCTAATGAAATGTCAACTCATTACGTTGGGTACGGGAGCAGCTGCTAAAAGATCCAATCCTGTTAATAATTATACTCACTTGGTCAAAGAAACTTCTGCCCACAGAAAGGTAGTCAGAGGGGTATGTGGCAAATATTGAGGCAGTCTCATTCCTGCCGTACACAGTCAACACTCCTCCACTAAAAGTCATTAAGGCATCTGCGACCGAAACAGAGGTGTTGCAGGAAACAAAACAAACTAATTTTTTTATTTATATGTCACAAAAATTAAAAAGACAAACCATAGTAGACGAGATAGACAACCCCCGACGCCACGAAAGCCCCCACCACCTGGGAGAGGGAATAGGGCACGAGCCTCGACCAGGACACCTTCCCCAAAACACAGAAACTCAGGGTCACCGCTGGGTTCAGATGGGCACCTGCAGGGATGTAGGGTACATATTTGGAGAATGATACAGGAAGGTGAAAGTTAAAAATGAAGGTAATTAGACACACTGGCAGGTGATCGTGTCTCTGATTATCTGTGTTATCATATAACAGTGGATTGTCATAGGTATGAGCCAAAGCAAACACTTTGCAAAAGAAAGTAGATAATTTATTATTATCTATTATCTTATTTGTAAAGAGCTCTGGTGATAAATTTTGTGTACTCATTTAATAACTGCAATAAAAGTCATAATTACCTGAGGGATTTTAGACTGTGCAGAGCATATTGTAATGAGTTTAAATGTAATACTATGTAAAAAAAAAAGAAAAAAGGAAATGTTAGTGCCCATTATGGATATCTTTTAATTTTTACCTGAGATGCCCTTGGTGAGATACATGGCTGACATAACTCCCACAGAGAAGGCCATGTTGCCAGATAGAAACTGGCCTTTAGTCTCATTGCTGGTTTTTACTTGTGCAGCAGCAGCACAGCCAAAGAGCTTTGTTGCAGATAAAGAGGACAGAGAAGGTGGAAGGTGCATGAGAAGTCAGAAGTTACTGCAAAACTCAGGTGAACAAAGAAACGAGATTTTCCACAGCTAAAAATCCCGACATCAAAACTAACTTAAATAGACGTAGAGGAAAGCACATGAGCAAATTTCAGTATACCTTTCTTGACTAACTAATTGATAAACAGAGACAAATTTGTTCTTGTTAAAGTGTAATTTAATGCCCTCCTCTTTAGACTTTGTAATGACCCGTGTTATCTGAATGACCATGTAAGGGACAGTATGGCTGTTACATTGTGATCTCACCACAGATGAGAAGATTTATGTAGAAAATTACGTAAGCTGCAAATATAACTTCTTTTTAATATTTTTTTGATCTTTTTCTTCATTTTAATCTTTTTAATATTTGATATACAAGCATAAATTATTGTAATCTGTTCTAACTCCAAGCAAAGTTCCCAATAAAATCTCAGTAGAGATTCTGCAGTCAGGTGAAAACTGTTTTAGACATGTGGCACAATTAAGGGTTTCAATTTCAACTCATATGGATTGTGCTTTCTTTAAATGCATTACATCAATTTATGTATCTAACTTCATACGCCTGCATTTTTCAGATTAGTTCATTTATGTCTTGCAGAGCTGACTTTGATTCCTACAGAAAACAAACATGCTTGAGAGAGATAAGACTGAGAACACCTTATAAATCCCATTCTAGGAAGCAATTTTTTATTTTATTTTTAAGAAAATTACCTTCACCTGGCTTCAGCCTTAGTTTTAGTGATAGATGTAAAGTCATGTGACAAGTTTTCACAAAACAGGTTCTGCAGTACTGTTTAAAACTGAAAGCTCCCAGTCTTTCAGTAGCTTGTGAGCCAGCTTTATCAGCAATAACTTGAAGTAATAATTTTCCATGACTATTAGTCATCAGTTTATGAGTCTCCCACATCATTGTGGAGGATTTTTTCCCCCAGCCTTTAAAATATTGCTTCAGCTCATTGTGGGTATTTTTTTATGCACAGCTCTCTTAAGGTCTGCACTTTGACTTGAAATTGCAGCATGTTGATCATTTTGATTTTCAGTCATTCTGCTGTAGATTTGCTGCTGTGCTGGGATCATTGCCCTTTTGCTTGAACTGTTGAGCAGGTGGCCTCACATTTGACTCTAGAATACTTTGGTATACACAGGACCTTGTGATCTACTCAATGACTGTAGGTGTTCAGGTCCTGTGCCTGCAAAATAACCCAAATCATCCGATACAGTGGGAAAAACAATTTTAATCTGATGCTATTATGTAGTTTCATTTTTTTTTTCGAGAGCTGTTTGATTCCGTAAACATTCAGTCAATGTGAGGGTATAAAATCAAACTCAAGCTACTTACACGTTTTATGCATAATTTTAGAAAATTAAAAAATAATAAACCTGAAAAATTAAAGGATAATTGTCCAGGGTTTGGGATATGCATATACACATTTCAACTCCTCTTTCTCTAAACTGTTTTCCAGCTTTGATTTTTTTTTTTTAAAAAAAACCCGTTTGATTGATTTTGAAAATTACAATCCAACTCAAAGTCACTCACCATTAAGACGAAAGTTCCCAAAAATTCGGCCATGCACTCTCGCACGAGGGGACACCTCACCCTCATTGCGCGTAGCTTCAACATAGCCGGAGTGAAATGAAAGGCCTCCACTTATCTCACTCCGCTGAGCACAGTGGCAACTGAGTGCTTCTGTCACTGTATCCCACCGCCCCCCTACCCTCTACCTACTGCTCTCTATTCACAGCTGGACAAACACTACTCGTTTACTCGGTCGTCTCACCTCACGATTGGCCAGCGCAGTGAGCGTGATTGGCCCAGCTAAAGACTGATACATAAACAGACACCATAAAGCCAAGAGATATTACTTAATACAGATACCTGTTGACTACTCGGAAGAAGCCGCCGAGATAGTTTTATGACAAAGTGTGTGTGTGAGAATAGTGTTTTACGCATTTCCCTAACAAAGGAAAGCTCCTCGAGGCTCGACTCTTCGCTTAATTTGGTCGCTTTATTCAGGTTGAATAAAGCTGCCCGCTGTGGCGACTCCACGTGAATAAGGGAGCAGATAAAAGTCGCTTCTGTGCAGGTGTACTGAAGCACTGTTTTAATTTGGCTTTTAACCTTTAGAAATACCATACAAATCAAAAACAAACAAAAAATATAAATATGCTTTGTGCACGAACGTAAAGTAATGAGGAATATTCTTTTGGAGAAGAAAGCTTCGTGTTTACATGCAGCTAAAGCAAGTTTCTAAGTGTGTTGATATACAAGAAAACCAAGTATCGTTAAAGGGAACATTATCAGTTAGCATGAAATGACGGCTAAATATTTTTTATTTATTTATTTGTTTTGAAAAATCGGTCTCCAAAATATGTCAAATGGTTATTTAGCAGGGTTGGGAATGGATTGTCAAATCTATTAAATTAGTCTATCACGGATTTCCACAATAAAAGCACAAATTGCTGACGATAGAAGCCCCTCTCATCATCGCTGCGATGCATGTCACTGTAACCTGTGTCACTGAACTCTGGACTCTCAGAAGATTATGTAAGCTAAATATTTGCTGTATTACTGCTGATAATATCCAGAGTGATCAAGGCAGTAACATGGGATGAGGATTTGATACGATATAAAACATATAACTGCCATGAGAGATTATTGTGTTAACTTTTTCTTATCAAATTATCTGAGAAATCTCTCCAAAACAGAAACCTTGACTTTGTGATGGAAGGCTGTAAAAGTCACATAGGGATTAGGTATTATCATGTGTTCACTTTTATTAATGTTTAAAAGGAAAGAAACCTTTAACCCCGATCTAAATGAAGACGAATTACTCCCTCTGCTGGTTGTAATAATAACAAACATCAATTTGTTAGCTTTTATTAAAAACAAATATAAAGTCTCAATGGAAAAGTTATTAACTATTAACAGTATAGTACAACATAGTTTTTCACTTACAGGTACCAAATGATCTGTTTTGAACTGATCAATCTATCTGTTACAAATGTTGGTTGATTTGATGCATGTAGGAGCCACAATTACTCAATGATTCGGCTCATAAAAAGGTTTGCCAGGCCTTGAGGTAGATGTAATCCTGTTAAAAAAGAGCATGTAAGAAAAATATACACCCTTGACCTGGTCTCCAAGCTTATTTTTCTTTTTCTTTAGGATATTATAGTTATTATACTGCCTGTACATAAACGCATTTTTAACTATATCATGTCCAGATTTCAAGTTCTTGCCCACTGAAGGAGATACAGCCTCTCATAGATAGCGTTTATGTTTTTGGTCCATCCCTTTAATCTTACAAGGAGTAAACTGCTTCCTTAATCTTCATGTTTCTGGATGCTTATGGGAGCGACGTAGCACCACATCCACAGGCCCAGGAGGAAGTGCTCTGATCAAAGTCCAGGCTTCTAAGCGCCTCATCCCCACCACGCTTGTCCCTTGGACTTCTAGGACCTCATCACCGGGATATACCATGTCAACAGGACCTCCTGAGGGTGGAAAGAGGGAAAACAAGTAATCAATAATGGTTTCTCTGAATGGGAACATTCTCCCTCCCATCATCCCCAACCAGGCAGATATCTGCCTCTCCCTGACACCTGTTCTGCTGGAGGTTTCTTCCTGTTAAAAGGAAGTTTTTCTTTCCGGCTGTGCCCAAGTACTTGCTCATAGAAGGTTGTCTGCTATCTGTTTCTCTGTATTATTGTAAAATGTTTAACTTACAATGTATAACAAGGATCTTAAGATGAGTGTTATTGTGATTTGGCCGTATATAAATAAAAACGAATTGAATTAAATAAATAGCCGAAAATCTACATTAATGTCAAATTTTAACTTTATGCTGCCATAAAAGTTCATATAGTAAACATATAATATTTAGGACTGAATCTTACATGGTTCTTTATGATGCTGTTTTCTTTAGTTATGAAGAAATAATGCTCCACATCAGATCACCAAGAGTGACTCAAGACTCAAGTGGCTCAAGAGTTGGGCGTTCGCCTTGTAATCGGAAGGTTGCCGGTTCGAGCCCGGCTTGGACAGTCTCGGTCGTTGTGTCCTTGGGCAAGACACTTCACCCATTGTAGGTGGTCAGAGGGCCCGGCGGCGCCAGTGTCTGGCAGCCTCGCCTCTGTCAGTGCGCCCCAGGGCAGCTGTGGCTACAATGTAGCTTGCCATCACCAGTGTGTGAATGGGTGAATGACTGGATGTGTAAAGCGCTTTAGGGTCCTTAGGGACTAGTAAAGCGCTATATAAATACAGGCCATTTACTGTATAACTTTAAGGTATTTCTGTATTGTTTTCATTTGTTGTATTTATTCTACAACTCATGTCAAGAGGAAATACTGCATTTCTTACACTAATGTAAAAAAAAATATTATTTTGACTTTAAATACAAAATACATGACAATTCAGTAAATTAGTTAGTTAATTCTAATATGAACAGCCAAAGTTTTAACAGTCAAATTGTGTAACAATATAACCCTATATATGGTCATGCTCTATTGCGAGTGCTTTTCTTCTGCTGGAGTTGGACCTTCTCCCTCCTGTCACAAGGCAAGAGATGGGGTAGACCCTGCACAGGTTGCCAGTCAGTCTAATACACAGTGATAACTATCATTACCTATGATCAATTTTTGAAGGCCAATAACCCTAACATGCATGACTTGGGGCAGAGTTTCATGCATGACTTTGGGCAGAAGTTTGGTTTTTACCTTGGAAGATTTTCTGGACGGTGAGTGGTCTGTTCCCCAGACTTGAGCCTTCACCTCCCTCCAGACTGAAGCCCAGATCCCGGCTGTTTTTCTGCAGTTGCACAGACACTGTTTGACCTAAGAGGAGGGGAAAACACAAATAAAGTATCTCATTTTCAGTTCAAGATTAGGAACGTCATTATCAGATCTTTGTTAGAGCATTACCTCTAATACTGACCTGTCTCATATTGTTCCGGTGTTTGTCCCCGACTATTTCCCTCTTCTCCTTTCTTAGAGCTGTCTATGATGTCCCCCCTCCTCACCACCACAACTACCATATCCTTTGCCTTTGCCCTTCTTAAAACCCTCAAGGCTTCCCAGTGGGCACTCCCAGATAGTGCTGTGCCATTGATGGATAAAACCTGGTCACCTTCCTTTATAGAGCCTTGCTTGGCTGCAACACCTGAGTGAAATACTTTGTGAACCTGAGCAGAGGACAAAAGAAAAGAAGAAGAAAAAACATAAAAATACTGCAGACACACATTTGAATATTTGCCAAGTCGAAGCAGGAAGTAGAATTTTCTCACAGTGATGGGCTTGTTTTGGTCCACGCCTCCTGCCAAACTGAAGCCTAGTCCAACTCCCACATCTTTATGGAGAACCACTACCTGCACATCATCATAGTCCTGAGGGAAACAAAAGGATGTCAAAATACACAAAATGTTCAGGTGCTCAGAGTTGAACATTTTTTGTCCTTTTTTAAACTCAATTCAGTCGGTACATGACCTGGTCAGCTGCAACAGCTGTAGCAATATTAACATTACATGTAAAGTGCCTAGGGAAAGCCTTATCTAGATGGAGGTTAATGGACCAGTGAACTGACCACCGCAACCACAGCCGCAAAAATATCAAACAACTGATCATTAAAACCATTCGAAAGGTTTTAACTTCATGCTGTTTTTACCTGCAGGGCACCGTCCCCCAGGTTCCTCACTTCCTCTACAAGCTTGTCGAGCTCCTCAGCGGGCATCACAGACACACAGGAAAACGCTGACATATCTGAGCTCATTGAAGCGGTACGCCGGTTTGTTGACTGCCAGTCATCGCTGTCATTCTCTGAATCGTAGTCAGCTCCAGCAAAGTTACACAGGTCCGAAAGACTACAAGAAGGAAAATAAAATGTTTTAGGGGTAAAACTAATTATCTGCTTCAATGAGCAACTCCATTAAACCAGAAATAAACAAGCACGGTACGCACGTGACAGAGAAGCTCCTGCGATCTGACTGACTCATATTGCTGGTGATGGTAACTGAGGACTCCCCTGAGTCTGAATCATAGTTTGAATCATCATCTTTTTGGGTGCTTTCATCATCATCAACATCCTCATCATCACTAAAGACTTTCAAATCTGGGTTCAAACCAGCTATCCAAGCATTCAGGTCCAATAACCGTTTCTTGCCTTTCTGGGGTGTTGTTTGGATGTCTGGGGAGATGACATCTTGAAGGTTGTTGTTAGAAGATGTGGGAAGGGCACGAGGAGAAGAGTCTGGATCTTTTGCTGGACATGTGAAGACGGGAGGGCTTTTGTTGTCACTGTCGGCAGTGGGAGTGACATCCCCCAGCTGTGCCACAGGTGAAGTAGTCAGTAAATAGCTAGGGCTGTTTGTTGGAGTCTGTTCATCATCACTAACTGGTGAAGTAATATCAGAGTGTGACCTTTCCTTGTGTGAAGGGTCACAGGGTGGTAGTGGGGTTGGTGTACTGCTGCCTGTCACGTCTCTCTCACTTGCCTCTTCAGGGCTTGAGGCTTTGGAGAAATCTATCTCATCTGTGCCAAGCTTTCCACTTACAGCTCTGTCACTTTCGTGAGGCATTTCTTGGGTAGTCTTGAGTCTGGAAAATTTTAAATCGTCAGTAGAGTCTATTTTTCTTTTCTGATCCAAGTCATTTAGTCCTGTCTGTTCCTTCTTTATTCTTAGTCCAATTTCATCCACTGATAAATTTCTGTCAGGCCAAACCTTGTTTACTGTTCCCATCATTTTGTCTTCACTTTTATCTTGTGCCTCCCCTTCTTCTTGGAGTCCTGCCCACTTTTTCCTTAGCTCATTTATTTCTTTTGCAGACCCGCTCTTCTTCACTCCTTCATGTCCCCTGCTGGCTTGTGCTGGTACAGAAAAGGTACGTCTGGGTATTTGGACTTGGCCTGTTGCAAAACTCTGAGTTCGCTGTGTCAGAGCCTCAAACTGGTTGATCTTCTTTCTAACACTGGCTGCTGAGGAGACAGACAGAGCCTTCTTTCTCTCTGCTGTTTTCACATTGGTTTTCTGTGGATTCGTCTCAAATACATCCTCATAAGCATTGCCACCCTTCAATTCCGTTATTTGATCTGGTCCATCAACACTTCTAGTCCTGTCTCTCAACATGCCCCCTTATTACATTAGTTTTTCTGTTTTCCTCTCCGTTGTTTGCAGAGCTATCGTCTTTGCTTTTGTCTCTGAATTCAGATGACTCTCTGAAAGAATCTGGTGTCTCTTCTAACAAAGTTTTTGGCTGTGCGTTTGCCCTTGCAGATCTAATCTGTGCAGCTATACTGGACCTACTCCTGGCTCTATCCAGGGACCTTGTACCTGTTTCCATAAAACCCTTGCCCCAATTAACTCCACTTTCCTCTGAATACCTTCCCTGCATCCACCCTCCTGGTGAGCTATCTCTTATGCTTGCCCCAGATGAAAATGAAGTCTCAAACCCTGAGGCATTGGCATCTTTTTGTGTCCAGAGTGAAAGTCCACTTTTCACTGCACTATTGCTGTCCTTCGAGAAGAAACTCATAGGGAAGGTGCCCCCTGCTGTCTTCTCATGAGGCTTTTGCTGCTGTGAAATGAGGGATTCTGTTGATGATTCAGAGTTATTAGAGGAATCCCTATTTTTGTAGTCATCCGTTTTACCAAAACCAGTAGGTCCAAAGAGTTTCTCTATCCGCTCCATTATACTTTGGCCACTTTTGGGCCCCAATGAAGCAGATGTCTCTGTGTAACTATAGTTAGATCCAGACAGGGATCTTAACCTGGTAGGGAGAGTCTTACCCCTACTGCCCCTTTCCAAAAGCTCGCTTCTCTCTTGAAGATTACTTACACCTACAGAATTAAAGGCCGGTAGTGATGAAATCCTGTCCATGACGCTGCCTTCAATTTGTGTCCTCCTTCCCTCCAAAGCTCCAGCATATTTACTGGTGTCCCCCTTATTGTTGTTGGACAGCTGAGAAAAGTCAGCTATGGTATTGGGATCAGGTTTTCTAGCGCCTGTTTTGAAATCTAAACTCTTACTTCTGCTTGTAAGGTTGGATCCCCTCCACGCCGATCTTCCCTGGCTTTCAAATGCAGGGTTTTCTCTTCTGTCAGTGCCAAACTCTGGGATCGTTCTGTTTGTGCTGACACTGCTGCCACTCCTAGTCCTGGTTTCACATCCAGTGACTGTGTCGTCATCCTTATTTGTACCGTTTGTGTTGGTGTGTTTCCTATATCGTTCTCTTTCTGCAACTTCTCCTATGCCCTCCCGTTTCCTGACACCTGAGCTGCGAGAGAGACTATATGTGGGAGAGTTAGCTGAGCGGACGGTGAATTTCACCCCTGTCCTCTGCTTGCCATACTCATTCTGTGAAGCGGGCAGCAGAGACGAGTCCATTGTCTGAGAGTAAACAAAGTTAATGACCTCCTGTCAAATGCCAGATCCCAAAAAAAGAGCGGAAGAGTGAACTAGATATTTTCTGGGAATCCAAGCGACTGTCTTTTAGATTGCACTCTGGAAGCGGTTCATCTAGGAGGCTCGCGTTTTGGGCGTGTAAAAAACAAATAGTGTCACAGTTACAATCCTCTCATTAGATTCTTCCACAGACAGACATCCTCAGTGCAGTAGTTTGATATTCCTAATTGTGCTCTGGTTTGCGGCCTGGAAGTGGTGACTCCACTGGCTCTTCTTCTTGTTTTGACCACAGGAGACTCCAGTTCCCCAGCTCGACCTCACTGAACAGCTCCCATTGCCTGCCAAGCATAAAAATGCACAAAATTTTATTCTCAGAATGGATTGGACTGGAATGTAGAGATGTGGATTGTGGTCACTTTGGCCACTTGGAATGGTCAACAATATCTCACAGTGTTAGAGGACAGGAAACATAAAATGTGGAGACTGATTCGGGTAGAAAGCATTAACAAATGTTAAGAAATTAGATCAAAACTAAACAACAACTCACTTAAAAACCTCTGCCACCAAGCTCACTTTGCAACATGTTCTTGCTGTCCTCTCCCTGACTCACCGAACAGTATGACTCAGATAGTGTTCTCTGCTGTACACACGTATGAGACACCATGTTTACATAGGCAACATACTTGAAGTTACCTGTCAGCATCAGCTAAACCTGAACCAAAAACTGGTAAAACTCACCTAACAGCAATCCACTCAGCAAAAGCAATGTATCAAGTGCCAATCTCTGCAGCAGGTATCAGTCTCGTGGTCAAAGAGAGACAGCAGCTTGTTCAAATCAAACGGTCATAAGAGCACAGATTTACTTTGATTTAAATACAGCCTGCAGATAACATCACTGAGGGGTAATGACTCATCATGGTTATCTGTGTGTACAGCCAATGAAAACAATGATAACCATCTTTAATCGCTAATCAAGTCTGAATGAAGATCTAATCATTCATAATGTCATTAAGGATAAATTCTGCAAGCTGATGGTTTCCTGTAATTATATATCATAAGAGTAGATTTACAGTATGCAGTGCTTTGTTTAGTTTAGGCTAAAGCATGGCACTTCCAGACAGTCACTGGAGGTGCTTTCCAGTGCAGATGAGCCTGAGAGTCAGTTTACAGAAACACCTGTTATATTTTGCCCCATCTGCGTAAGCAGGGCAACACATAGTCATTCACTTTAAACTCCCCTTTGAATCGCAAGAAGGAAACAATTGCACCCTCACATCAAATGAAAATACACACATTTACTCAATTACACAGTTACAAATTAGCCAACTAAAAGTCCGCTCCTATATTCACAAAAAAGGTATCTTACCTCCTTTAAGTGTGTTTTCTGTACTCGTCCTGGGTCATTGTGTTAACTCGGATTCGTAATGAAGACATTGCCATGTAATGACATCAGCTCCTCGCTCCTGACTGCCCTTCTCTCACTCTTTGTCTGCTTCTCTTTACATCAGCTTTGCATGATAGAGTGTGTACAGTGACGCAAACCTGCCACACTGGTTTGTCCTCTCTCCTTTTCTTCCTCCCTGTGTCTCTCTGTCTTTCTCTCTCCTCCCCCTCCTATTGTTGTTCTCTCCCTCTTTTCCTTACTCTCACAGGGTAACATTCCTGACTGAGGTTCAATGTGTCACCCTTCAAACGCCTCGATAGGGAATGCACACACACACGTTTACCCACGTTTAAACACACACCCCACTAATCATTTGATATGAACATCTTTTATAGCTTCAGGGAGATAAGATACAATTTCGATATTGTGTGAAACGGTACAAGCATGACATTTCCTAAAACAAGGCCCGTAATGTCACCCCACCTCAGGCAAACCCGGGTCCAATCATCTGAGCTGAGCAGGTATCAAAATACATAATAACAGAGCACCTTTAATTGGGTCCAGAGATTACAAAGAGCCAGGAATACTAGCAGGGATAAATATTGCCATAAGAACACATCTCATATGTCATCTGTTCAACAAAACAGAGCTTCACTCCACACACACACACTTGGTGAGAGTCAGTGGGTTTGTAATGCTGACTAAAGGGAAAAATATCTGCGATTGCTGATCATTTTTGTTCTCACTGAACAAGCTGTTTGTGGGAACAAAAAGCCTTTTTATTACAAATTTTAAAACAAAGGGAAGCACACATAAATGGATAAAATAATTTTAAAAAATGCAGCTACTTACAGTTTTGTTTTTCATGAAGAGGCTATCTACTTACTGCCGCCTTTTTGCATGCACCTGTGACTGTTACTTGTCTTCCGTTGAGACAGAGGAAACTGTGGTTACCACGCTAGCTTGCTGCACAACTAAATAAGAGAAGTCTTGATGTTTATGTGTGCCTGCTGAAATAAATAACTTACATACACAGACCCTGGGATAAGAATTAGGACCATAATGATCCAATCAATTACCAGCCTTCCGGACAGAGGGCTGGTAGTTTGCATAGTGCCTCTCAGGACAAAGATAAGTGTGTGAGTAGGGGTAAATAGCCCCATGCAACTCCACAGACACCCACCCTTGTTCCAGACAGAAGAATAGCACCCACTGTCTCTGCAGGATGGATGCAAATAACAGTTCAGCTCACACAGGCACACACTAGTGCTTGAAATTCATTCTTTAGGGTGTAGGACTGACAGACTGTGTGTTGCAGAAGCATTGTGGGAAAGGACAGTGTATTTTAAGTAGGGCATATGACGTTTAGAGTCAGGGAAGATAGAAATGTAATATGAAGAAGGAGAAAAATCTAGAAGCTGAAAGCTGGAGATGGAGATGACTTGAATTGACAAAGCATTTCAGTTTTTATTTTTATTTTTATGATTTGTCTGATATTGAGTTCCTTTCAAAAGAGTAAATTTTAGTGAAGAAATAATGAAGGTAACAAAGAAGAGGGTATTTTTTCAAACAGGAGAGGACAGAGAAAAAGGGGAGAAGATGAAAATAAAGACTTTAAATATCCAGTCTTATAAGTTTTTGTTTTTGAGGAAGAAAAATAGAAACACATTGCTGAACCTCCTTTATTATAAAACAAGAACTTGGGCGGTTTTTTCTCCTATTTACATGTGTGAAGCAATGACTCTGTTATACGGTCATTGCAGTAAAGTAGCATCCGTAAATATATAGTTAAAATAAATAAATACATGCACATAGGGGCAGCGTCAGACCTGACGTCACCCCTGTCCGTACCGGTCACGTGACTACCGCGGAAGTCAACAAATCAGGCAGCGAAATGTAGCAACAAGCACTTTAGTCCGCTCAACTTCCCCGTTTTTGTCTTTTGTTCCTTTAATGTTGGCTGCTTGCGGTTTGAAAACGCCTTCTTAAATGAGACACGTACCGGGCACAGGACGCACTTTGAATCGACATTTATCCAGTTAGTTCAGTTAAAATAACAACAAAGTAAAAAGAAAACCGGCAGATCTTCAAAATGTTTAACGACTCGCTTCCTTCGAGAATTAACGTGGTGCTTGTGATGGCCTATGGCAGTCTGGTGAGTTTGTTTAACGTTGTTTGTGCTGGTTTAATCCAAACCGAAACAATGAACACAGTCCCGGGTTACAGAGGTAATCGCGATGCTTGGACAGGTGCCTCATTCCTCATCAGAGGCTTGTAGTGGTTGATACTTTATCCAAAGACTCATTTCTACTTGATAATCTGCTATTAAACGCAAATAAAGCTGTTATTACAAGTTTGAACACCTGGATCCCTCAACTATGGTGTACTCCACTGAAAGGTACTAATAGTGTGTAAAATCTGTTTAATAAATATCACTGCAGCCCAATTTCTCCTCTGGTGCCTGTAGTTGGGCGATTAATCATAATAACATTCATAATTATTGTAATGTTTACAAAATGTCGACACTACACTGTGTGATTTAAGGATTTAGAGTGATGAATGACAACATTTACCCTTTGGAGGTGTCACAACCTGGCTCAGGGACTGTGGCAAAGAAATGAAGACAACAAAAAACAAACAAAACAATTTATTTATAAAACCACAATTAACCAATGGAGCATACTGCAGGGCCCAGGCATGACTCATGTTGATGGAATTTAATTTATATAGCATGTTTAAGTTAAACATAAAAACATATGTCAGTTTAAGATGTCTTAAGGCAGTGAAAACAGCAAAATAAACGTTTACAATGAAGTAAAATACAAGTTAATGTACATGTGCATGCACACACTCACACACAAAACAGACACAAAAAGATTTTGTGTCTGTTGTTGACTGTATGCACGGATGTCATTCACCTCAGATCAGCAGGCAGCTTGTTCCAAAGAACAGCGTGGTAGTAACTGAAAGTACCCTCATGTTCTCAGCACACTTAGATCTAATTCTGGGGACATTTAAAAGATATGCACCTGATGACCTGAGAGGTCTTTTTTTTTAACCGATTTTATTTGAAAAGGCACCATGTACAATATTAACATACATGTTACCATGTGATGCATTGTTCCAGAAATATCTTAAAGCTAATCTGCATCAGCTGTCCCTTCAGTGGTTTAGTGACTGTTTCCCAAGCTTGTTTCTAACATATAGTTTAACATATGACAAAGAATCATGGCATGCATGAAAGTCTTACCAGCTTCTACTGAGAGGCAGACTCTAATGTCCCTCAGGCTTTATCAGATTATATGTAATAGTTTTGATCAATTGCTTTATATTAGACTTAAAACTGAAATTTAAATCATACCCAGATATTCAAACTCACTCACAATTTCAATCTTCTAACCCTTAGTGAAAGTTTCTGGTCTGAAAAGACCTTCCTTTATTCTTACTTGTATTAAGAGTAAGACAGGACTTGTCAAACCCCTCCATGAGCATTGCAATTGTCAATTTACTCGCCAAAAGCTTTGCAGTTTTTGCATGTGTATATGTGAAAGTATCATCTGCATACATTTGCATATTACTGACATGAGCCACTTGTAGAAGGTCACTGATGTAGAGGTTAAGATAAAAACCAGTACAAACCATATCCACGCTGCAGACTGTGCCATTATTGTCCTCTTCAAACACATGAAATGAAATCACCTGATTGCAGCACAAGTGCAAGTGGAACCGGTAAGAGGGAGTGATAGGCAGGCAGACTAACAATTTCAAGGAGTTGGACTACTGGGTCATTAATCGAGAACGGGTTATTGTAGAAAACTGGTTCTTGATATTGATATTCTCGATATTGGTCCAAACCAAATATTTCGGTCTCATTTCTGTTTAGTTCTAAAGAATATGCTGCCATTTACCCTCATTTTAGCCGCTACACAACAAAACAATGAAACAAAGACACATTTAACCCTAGGACTTGCATTTATTTACACTATATGGACAAAAAAACAGTGCCACCTACAGGAGCTGCTTGGCCATGGAAATAATGTTTTTTAAAAAAGGGAAACTCAGACATCCATCTAGCATTTAACTTTCTTTCAGATTTTTGTCTTGCTGTTCATCTTTGTCAAAAGACAAATTATGCGACTTGCCATGAAGTCTCGAAGAGGACCACATGTACTCCTTGGCCACAACGCACCAAAGGTTAAACGCACACTATTATAATGCAAGTGTGTTCTGATGTTTTTTGTGTTTGTGCTGAAGAATTGTGTCTTTGTTCCAGGAGCTGAGACAAGAAATTGATGCCAAGCTGAACCTGGTCCAGAAAATCCACTTTGAGCCTCGTCTGCTGTCTCCAGATGATGACCGGTTAATGCAGAGAGAACAGTCTGGTAAGAGGAGCAAACAAACACACACATAACACGCACCACTCCTGAAGCTATTCATATAAATAGTTTCCATGCCCGTGCACTAAGTAGTCTGTGTGTGTGCACATGTTCCAGGTTCCTGTGACTATTTGTATAGAATGAAAGCACTTGATGCCATCAGAGATGCCGGTAAGCTTTTCTGTTACAGTTTGTTTTGTTTTGCCATGAATCCAGATTAAATCCTCCTGACTGCTACAGCAACATCTTCAACTGTTTGTCATTAGATTTTCCTTTTCGTGAACTTGGAGGAACGTCCACCGCTGTTACTGGAAAAAGATTTCGGACCTGGCTTCTGCAGCTACGAAATTCCCACTGCATATTCAGAGAAAACCAGAGCTCTGTCATCGACACGGTGCTAGATGGCTACAATAAAGCTCGTCATGGGGCAGAGGTCAGCATTTTCTCAGACGGTCCACAGCTCAGTCCTCTCTTATTTACTCACTGACTCAAGTACCAGGTTGGACCCCCTTTGTCTTCAGAACTGCATCATTAGTTCTTTATGGCTCAGATTCAACAAGGTGCTGGAAACATTCCTCAGAGACTTTGGTCCAGTTTGACACAATAGCATCACAGAGTTGCTGCAGATTTGTTGGCTGCACATCCGTTACAGCACGTTCTAACCCTGCTATTCAAATGTCACAGGACAAACAGAGACTTAGCAGACCAGGCAACATTTCATGTTCTGTTTTCCGATATTAATGAGCATGTGGGAGTTGTAGTCTCAGTTTCCTGTTCTTAGCTGACAGCAGGGAGACCCAATCCGGTTTTCTGCTTGACAGTTCAACGTGTTTTGCTTTCAGAGATGCTTCTCTGCATACTTTGGCTTGTAACAACAGCTTATTTGAGTTCTCCTCTGACATAATTTGCTCAGAGAACTGCCGCTCTCTAGATATTTTCTCTTTTTCAGACGATTCTCTGTAAAACCTACAGATAGTCATGTGGGTACATAATTAGAGTTTCTGCCATGTAATTTGATGATGAGAGTTGTGTTGACATGTAGCTGAATGGATGTACCCAATAAACTGCCTGGTGAGTGTATATCATCATCATCATCATCATCATCACATGAACAAACAGTTCCATATTGACCTTCCAGTGGGCTCCCAGTTTGTGTTGTAGTTCCGATGCACTTGATGTCATTTTGTTTGCTAATTCTTGTGCTTTTTCTGAAATAAAAAATGTATGGGGTCTTTAATAGTAGTGCTTTTTGTAACATACTGTGTAGCCCAAGGTATAAAGCTATATTAGCCATATGATTTAAGTTTTCTCCGTATTGCCCAGCACAGCAGTAAAAATTTGACAAATCTTTAGGGCACTTAAAGATTTTATTCTGGTTTCAGTAACAAATCACTGATCTTGATGTTTTCCTGCTTTTATCTTCAGGCTTTTGGTGAAGCAGAATTCTTGAAGTACCAGGAAGCCCTAACAAAACTGGCCTCCATGTAAGAAAACACAGCCAATCCTCACGCTGCTCCCTTACAGCTTTTCCTTTAATCCCAGCATGGAATGTTAATAAGGCAGCGGGAACAATTGGTTCTCCTTGTATTGTTTCAGAGTGAAGTCTCAGAGCAGCAGCACTTTAAATCAGCACCATCAGTCTGCAGCCAGAGACCTGACCGGCACCACAGAACCTGCAAGCACCTCCTCTCCCTCTCCGACCCAACCCACCTACCTCTCATCTACAATGCAGCAGCGCAGCAAGAGGTCCAGACACTTCCTGGAGCTGAAGAACTTCAAAGACAACTACAACACTTTAGACAGTACACTCTGAAAATGAGCCCGTCCAACAGAAAGTCAAGGACAAGGCAGCACTGCCAGTGATTACGGAGCCTGAAGTCTCAGAGTGAAAAGACAAAAACACTGCCTTCATACTCTAACATGTATTGCCTTGTTTACACTGTAGTGCATATCAGATTACTGTTACAGTGCCCTTTACCTAAGTGTAGCTTATGCATATTATTGCATGTATGTATTATTGCATGTATGCGTGCTATATGCGTGGGTAGAATGACTCTAACCGACTATAGTAAGTAGGTTTGATTTGACCAAAACAAATCCAGAGCTATTAGGCTATGCAACAGCATAAGACAATCAGTATTTATTGCACAATGTAAACACCTATGCAGACTTGCTGAAAATAACCAACTGTTTTAAAATGTTAATAGTTACATTTTCAGAGAAAACCAGCATTCATTGTTGCTTAGTGAGAAAGAAATCTGCTGTTGATGTCACTTATGTTTACACGTACATCTTTGCTGTCTTTTGTTGCAGTGAATTTGACAACTTGTTTTGTTGATTTGTTTTTTTTAAGTCTTGATCATTTTTTTTACAGAAGCCATAGTGCTACTTGTTTTCAGGAACTGTGATTAATAAGTGCATTTTTAAAAAAATCAGTTATCTCAGTGCAATGTGAATTAACAGTATTTCAGTGTATTGATGTATTTTAAATGTGGGGTATTGCATTATGGGAACTCTGTTCCTTGACTCTTAATGGTATACTGATATGAGAGCTGCGTTTCATTTTCATCTGCTTTTATGGTTTCCCAGGGAGGCATTTTAATGCCTGAATAATTTATTTTATGTGGTGCCTACTATACAATTTACCATCCAAATAAAACTGTGACATACAGTTGATTCTTGAGTCATTGGGAATTTTCTTTGACAAGAAAAACTGCAAAATCAAACTTGCAAACCTACCCACTGTGGCGACCCCTTGTGGCAAAGAGGGCAGCTGAAACTAGCTGTATTAGGCACACCGTGATAGTACTGTGTTAGACCCTCTTTCCCCTTCTGCTGCCTTTAAAGTCTTCGTGGCATAAATTCCACAAGGTGCTGGCGTCCATATTGACATGATAGTATCACACAATTGCTGCAGATTTGTTGGCTGCACACACAAAACTAATAGTTATGCTGTCGTGAATAAACAATTGGATTTCATCAGGTTATATTGACCATGCATTCACATGCCTAGATGTACTGCATTGCTAAATTATTTAAATTAAATGTATGCACTAATGAGTAGTTGATGTACCTAATAAAGTGTATCATTATATCATTTTGTAATGCAACTAGCGTCCAGCAGAAGGAGCCCACGTCACCTTATTTCACTTGTGCTCTCTGCGTAAGAACTGAAAGGAAACTCATTGATTTTCAGTTATTTTATTCTAAAACAAACACAGATAGCAGATTAACAGGTACTTCGTACAAAAGCTTCTCTATTAAACAATGTCTCTAGGCATTTCATTTAACATTAATAAATATAGAGGAAAAAGCTGTTAGGTAGAAATCAAAACATCAAAATCACATTGATATGTACAACAAGAAGGTGACTGTCTGCGCAGTGACTGAAATGCTTTACAAGAAATATTAAGAAAAAGGACGCCTCTCACGTGTCTGACTTCCCAAACATCTTCATTTTTCTTTCCTCCTCACAGTTTCATAAAGTGCCATACTTTTCGTTGGAGGCTTGACAACCATATATTTACTTACAAACAGCTCAGAGAAAAAAAATAAATAGCCCATAAAAATAATCACAGGGTGTCGCCCTTATAGAGGCTACAGTCAGTATTTACACTCTAAAGCATTACACCGCTCACACAGAAAGGCAGCGGAGTCACGGAGGAGTCAGCAACGAAGACAAAGACACAATTCAGATAAACGTGTTAATGATTCTTCACATCGTGTGTCCTGACGGTGGCGTTAGCTACAGTTTATTGGCGCTGCATTGCTGTATGTGAATTTTATAATGTTGTTAGGAATTATTACCCCCTGCTCTTTGAGTTAATCATCATTAGAAACTTAAAGCAGGGCAAGCAAAAACACTTGCATACAGTTTGCAGTACTACACGTAAACTTAGACACACATCGCTCTCTCTAATGCAGCTACATTAAAGCGGACATTCTTTATGCATATGCGCAGACACGCAAGTGTGTGTGTGTGTGTGTGTGTGTGTTTGTATGTGTGCTGATAAACCCCTCCCACCCCCTTTTTTCCTTCAATATTGTTTGGTTTGGTAGTTGTGGTCTCTGATGTTCAGCACGCACATCGGAACCGTTCACTTCAGTCGACATCGAACAGGCAGTTGGTGCTTCTGAGCCCTTCTCAGCAGTAACTGATTAATTCATCTGCCCAGCTGGTTCATGACTTGATCTCGATGACTTTGATGAAAGGAAGCGGTTTGTTGGATGAGGTGGACAGCTTGATTGGTTTGCTGTAGTGATGAGAGGAGGATAAATTATTTTTTAGGTGGAAAACAGCATTTAACGCACCTAAATGTGTTGTTTATAGGTAATATATTGGAAGAGCGCTGGCAAAATAAGTCACCTGTAGACAATCTGGGCGTTGCGTTCTGATGAAAGGTAGGAATTTGACCTTTGTCCTCCCAGAAAGTAGTCCACCTGGTCGTGCATTTCTCGGTTCTGCAAACACAGGGAGATTTCAAAGGGTGCAAATTATAATCACAGAACAGACACTGGCTTCAGCTTTTCTCCTTTCGTCTTCTCTCTAATTGCAGAGGCTGGTCTACGTTTTACCCTGACCCTTCAATTTAAATTCCTCAGACATATTTTCTTACAGAAGAAGCTGTCCTCACCTCAGCCTCCAAAAATGCCACTTTCTCCTCCAGCTCTTTGATCACGCGGTCCCGCTCCTGGATCACCATGCGAGAGTTCTGGAGCTAAAGACGAGCAAACATGGAGACAGACAGTGAGCGATCCCTACGCAAAGAAGACGGAGACAATGTATTTGCTTTATAGAGCCACACATGCTCATCCCACCTGCTCGATCATGTGTCTGACTTTCCTCTGTTGGCTTTTCAGCATGTCATCCAGATGGTGGATCTTTTCTTTGAGTATGGCCACCTCCTTCTCCAACTGCTCAGTCCTAAAAACACACACAGTATGTTACAGCACGCTATTGAACACGCTATTGACAGATAATTGATAAGTGGAGAGTTTAACACTTATATGTGTGTGTGTGTTCTTATTAGCTGACCTTTCCGCCCCTTTGTGGCCCTCCTCTCTGATCTTTCGCAGTTCCCGCAGTTCATCTTCACGGTTGCGGATGGCCTCCCGCAACGTGGCGCTCTCCTGCTCCATTCCTCCCAGCAGCCTCTGAAGCTCATCGATGCGCTGGTCTTTCTTCTCATTGTCTTCTTCTGTACTCCTCAGCTTCTCCTCCTGGTCACTCAGATGCTCTCTAAGCCTGCTGCCTTCAGCCTGGATTGGTCAAAAAGTTTTGTTCTAAATATCGCTTTCATGCAAATTATATAAATATGTATGTGTTTACTTTGTATGTAATATGCACGATGAATGCAAAGCCAGTGTAGGTTACCTGCAGTCTCTCTTTCTCCTCCAGGTGTTTCTTTTCTGCTTCCTGCATCTGTGCATACAAGCGCTTACTGACTTCTCTCAGCTTGCTTCTCTCTGCTTCGTCATCCACATCCTAACAGAAAATAAAGCGCTGGATTACCCTAATAGTACTCAGATGTTTTTAGAATGATGTAATCAATACAATGATGGCCGAGTCTCGTAAGAGCTCTGTGGGTGTTGCCGCTATAAAGAAAACAGGCGTGTCCACGTGCGTCAGTGGTGCAGCTGGAACATGACCTGCGTTTCCCTCCTATTTGTGCCTCCCACACTTAGAGCGAGTAAGGTGTCATGTGAGTCACAAATGTTGCTATAAGTGGCGCAAAAACAGTAAAAACCAAACGCAACAGTGTCAGCTTCTTTGTTGTGTGTGTCTGCAAAACACTGCTGACATGCACAACAAGAGGATGCGACAAATGTCTGGCTTAGAGTCAGCGAGGATGAAGCATGCGTGGAATGAAGGGGGCCTGAAAACAATAACACACGCAGGCAGCGGTACATAGTGTGCCGGAACAGCTCTTCCGCGCATTTTCTTACACCCTGGGGTGCTGTAAACGTAGCTGCTTTTTGTCTGCCATTTTAATCCTCTTTTTCCCCCCATGATGACACCACATTCTATCTGTGAGCCTCCGGGAGGTGATCGCTTTACAGGAATCTTATAGAAAACGCAAACTGACGCAGATAGCCCGTGGGAAAAAAAAAACAACAAGACACCACAGGACTGAAGCTATGATGTGCATACGTGTGTTTGCTCACCTGCCCGTCATCTTTAGCTCCTGGTTTAGTGGATGAAGTGCTCTTTCTGAAGGGGATTCCAACCTTCCACCCATTTGTGTGCGGCTGGACAGATAAAAGGAGGAAGTGCAGATGTAAAATGTTAAAGACAGTGAGGGGAGAGCTAAAGGAAATGCCATCAAGAGCTCAGGATGCAAGGCTAACAATGGCTTACCTTGTTTTTGGCTGCCATCTGCTCCCTCAGAGTCTTCAGGCAGTATCTCACCTGTGTGACACAAACACACAAAAAAGATATTGTTATAAATTAAGATATTATCTGAACATGTATGTTTTCTACTTGAGCAAATAACCAACACAGGAAAGTCGGGAGCTGAAGGGAATCACGAGAGAAAAGAGGCGTATGAGTGAGGATGATTTTACAAGATGCAAATTCTTACATAAGTTATAAAACAGGGACGACAGACTGTAGAGTTACTGTGTGCATTTGTGTGTTAGTGAAACAGCCAGATAGATGCTGTCCAGACACTGACCTCCTGTATCTGTGAAACTTCATCTGACAGCATCTTCAGGCTCTCTTGGTGTTTCTGCTGCTCTTTTTTGCGGGCCTCTAGATACACCTGAAACAAGGACATACATGAATGTATATACTGGTTTAAAACCAACAGAAGAAAAAAAACAAAAAAAAACACAAACAAAGAAAATACAAAGAAGCCTACCTTGATGATTTCTACCTGCTCCTCTGTGGATTTGACTGGTTCAGAGGTCAAAGCAGTCCTCTCGTTGGCTGGCTGCACCAGTGCAAAAGCTCGTCCGATTGGCTGGAGATTAGCAGACATAAGAGGAGTTCACAATTGGGTTTTTGCGTGAATAGATGGGTGTGATAAATTTCTAAATAAAATGTCAAACTAAATGCAGATGATCCAGAAAGGGTTTGGTCATATTTACAATCAATGCTGCAACACAGGATTCGTGAGAACTGGCAGGAATGAATCTGACTGATAATTAATACAAAGCTTTTTGCCAGGACCGTCTGCATGCTTGGTCAAATTAAACTGTTAACAGGCAAAAATGAAAAATTTCTTCCTGCGTGGGTGTGAAAGACCGAGAGCCTCTGCAATCAGGAGCCAGACGTTGAGCACTAATTACTATGGAGACTAACCCATAAACATCTGGCCAAAACGCAGAGAGGGAGTGAGAGAGCGAGGGGGGGGGCATGCAGATAAAGGTGGAGACACGTTATGCAACTGTGCTGGTGGTCCCACTGGTATTGGTATAACAATGGTTGTTTTGAGACACTGAGTGTGGGAACCCCACTAATGAAAAGCTGATGGCATCTTCTTACGCGGCTGGTGTCTTTTCTTTTTCCTTTTTTGAAAGCGCAGCTGTTCTGAGCTAATTACTGAGGATCGTAGAGAAGATTAAGCGACTGTCTGAACCTTCAGATCCAAAAATGGGGTGAACAAACCTTCAGCACTTCTTTTCTCATCCGTTAACATTTTAAAATCAATTCTCTCAG